CGTAATTCTTTCTTTTTTTTACAGTGTGAACAAAGTATGTTTTATACCATCAACTGTAGTTTGAATTGTAGTTTAAAAAAAACTGCTTTAGCACTAAAAGCCACAATTTGTTTGCAAATTCCTTGCCAGGAAAGTCACAGCATTAAAGGAATTTCCTGGGTTGGAGTTTTTTCCCCATAAAGCTCTGCTGTCTTTCCCCCTACAATTGTGAATTTAGCACAATGTACAGAAATTTAGCAAGAATCCCCATTCCTAAACATGTGGCCAGAAGGATGAGGAGAGGACGTGTTCAAGCACAACCAATTCAGTGGAGAAAATGCACTTGAGCTGGTGGGACCATTGATCTGGAGTTGCTGGGGTGGTGCTGGTTTTGGGAAGGGTCGAGGTGTAGCAAATCACCAAACTGTGAATCATTGACTCTCAGAAGCATTTCTCTCTCTTTTTAAGTTCCTCTTGTCAAGTGTGGTACAGTGGGGTTGAGAAAGGAATGTATTCTCGGTGACCAGGATGATGAATGTATGACACTTCATGTTTATTTGTAATGTCCTTTTTTATACTTAGAAATTGCTTACATATGTATCTGTATGTAAATAAATGTTTAATCCTTTCCACCTGATGTTCAAAGTGGTTGATTTGGGTTTTTTTGGCTTTTTTTTTCACTTGAACTGCAAAGCAAAAGTGCCTTGAAATATGTACAAGGGATTCACTTGATTTAATATCAGACCAACAAATCAATGGCTGCTAAGGGTTTTCTGGTAGGGTTGAGCATACCAAGGCTAATTGGGACCTCATGAGAAGAGTTAAAGTAGCACTGCTGACCATGGGAGTGATGTCCCTGTGCACTGAAGCACAGGAAAAAATGTTATTACAAACAGGAGAGATCATAGTGAAGTTTGAAGAGCCAAAGAAATGCCAGCATCAGGCACTAGAGGGTGGTCTGTGACAGAGGCACCATATTCGCTCTCCATCATTGCACACCTGGAGCGGCTTAAACTCTTGTTGGAGCAAGATCATAGACTCACATAATATATTGGGTTGGAAGGGACCTTTAAAGCTCATCCAGTCCAACCCCTGCAGTCAAGCAGGGACATTGGTACCAGATCAGGTTGCTCACAGCCCCACCAAGCCTGGCCTTGAATATCAATAGGGATGGGGCCTGATATTCAAAATATTCGAGGCTAGGCTTGGTGGGGCTGTGAGCAACCTGATCTGGTACCAATGTCCCTGCTTGACTGCAGGGGTTGGACTGGATGAGCTTTAAAGGTCCCTTCCAACCCAATATATTATGTGAGTCTATGATTCTGCCAACACACTGAGAACTGAGTTGTGAAGCTTAAAGACATCGTGTGCCTTTTATTGCCTCCTCCACTGACCTTGAAGCACCTTCCTTGGTCAACGTCTGTGGTGAAGGCTGGGCCATCTGCTCTGTGTTCCCCAGAAAGCTGCCAATTTGAGTCCGTGATCAAACAGAGAGGGGTTTGGAGAGGTCCCTGTGTGCTTCTAGGTAGGAAGTGGGCAAAGGAAGGGGAATAAAACATCCTTAAAGCTGTCCTTCATCTTCTCATGTACAACATCTTCCTACTGAGCCCTTGGGGAGCTCTGCCCAGAAGATGTCACCTTGCTGACAGGGTCCTGTCACACAATGGTACTTTTGGGTCTCACTGTGGGCCCGGTCCTCTCACACAAAGCACAGGAGAGCTGACTGCCCTGCATTAATTTCAATGGTATGGTACAGACAGTCTTACCGGATTTAAAATCTGGTCTTGATTGATGGATTTCTATGCATAGGAAATCAACTGCAAACCCAGTATGAATTTTCAGGAGTTTTATTACCTTCAGAATTAAACATGCTGAGCTTTATTCATTTTTTGTATGAACTTATAATTATAATCACGTCAGCTTGCATCAAAGCTATCACTTACTGTGGCATGCGGATGAATTCTCTGCTGAATAAAAATCATTCGTGCTGGACAAAACACTTCATGTCAAAATGCTGTCAGGTACATGATGTAGATGTTTTGGCAGTGTTCCGTTGCTTGTCTCTCGTGTATCACTTGGATCAGGTCTAACCCCCATGATAAAGTGGTTTTTTGTCCAGTTCATCACAGGGGAGGGCTTAAAGAGCCAGTGATCCTGCAGCCTTGTACTATGTGAGAGGCTGTAGCTGAAACAACCAGTTTCAGGCTTTGTTTGTTTCAGCACTGATGTCTTAAAACCCTTTCAAACCCTCAAAGCCCTTGCTTTCCCTGTGCTCAGTGATCTGGGTATGAGTGATGCTGTTTTTCCCTTTATTTCTTCTACATAAGCTTACACAGACTTATCATTTCCAGGCAAGTTACGTTTCTTACTCCTGTTCCACTTGCCTCAACAGCTGATAAAGTTCATGTGGCTTCTTCTATGACTGTCACATCCCTTTGGCTGTGCCAAGAAGCCCTGTGTAGGGATCCATGTATCACAGAATCACTTAGGTTGGAAGAAACCTCTAAAATCATCAAGTCCAACCATCAACCCAACCCCACCATGCCCACTAAACCATGACCCCAAGTGCCACATCCACGTGCTTCTTGAACCCCTCCAGGGATGGGGACTCCACCACCTCCTTGGGCAGCCCCTTCCAGTGCTTGACCACTCTTGCAGTCAAGAAATTTTTCCTCAGATCCAATCTAACCCTCCCCTGGCACAACTTGAGGCCATTTCTTCTCATCCCATTGCTTGTTCCCGTGGAGAAGGGACCAAACTCCCTCACCATCCCCTCCTTTCAGGAGCTGCAGAGGGGATAAGGTCTCCCCTCACCTCCTCTTCTCCAGTTGAAACCCCTCCCCCCTCCGCCAAGCTCCCTCAGCCGCTCCCCATCATTTGTGTGCTCCAGATCCCTCCCCAGCTCCATTGCCCTTCTCTGCCCATGCTCCAGCCCCTCAATGTCCTTCTGGGAGTGAGGGGCCCAAAACTGATCCGATTTGAGGGGCGGCCTCACCAGTGCTTAGTATAGGGGAAGGATCCCTGACCTGCTTCTGCTGGCAACTCCATTGCTGATACAAGCCAGGATGGCTTTGGCCTTCTGGACCACCTGGGCACTCTGCTGGCTCGTGTTCAACCAAATTTCAACCAACACCCCCAGGTCCTTCTCCTCCAGGTTCTCTCCAGCCACTCCTCCCCACGCTTGTAGCGTCCATGGGGTTGTTGTGACCCAAGTGCAGGACCTGGCACTGTATCCTGTACAGCACAGCATTGCCATCTACTGCCGTGGTGGTTTAGGCAGTGTCACTGGCAGAGCACTTACCAAGTGACTCCGTTCACAGGTACGTGGCTTGAAGTTACTCTAGTAATCTCTTTAATATGTTTAATTCTGCTTTTTTTGACCCTTTTTTGGCTACAACTGAATATTCCTTTTTCTTCTATGTCTAGGATCAAGGGACTGCAGGGATCTAGGCTTGGACCTCGAAAAAAAAACCTTGAGCCTCTTGCCACCGCTCCCTAGTGTTGCAGCATCTTTAAACACCCCTAACAACTTCTTGGTTGTGCTTCAGCATCTTTTGGGGTAGGATAGCGAGGAGAAAAGATGGTTTGGCTGGTTAAGGCCTTTCAGTGAGACTCAAGAGTTAGGCTCCATGGTCTCTTTATGCAAGTCTTTGAACCTGGGCCTCAATTTCCTCAACTGTAAATAGTAGAAAAGAACCAAACCACGAAAACAAAAAGTTACTGCTATGGAAAAATTCTGTTGTAAAGTGAATTTACCTGTGCAGACTTGCAGTGTAGCCATGAGGAACCATTTCCTTTGGTCAGCCTGTAGACTCAGCACACTTGGTAGGAGAGGCTGCATCTCATCAATACCCTACTCAACTGCAGAAGTGGCGTGTTTGATTTCAAATACTCTTCTTCCTCCTATCTCTCACTGAGAAATGCATTTGATTCAAGGGTGCAGAACTCAGGGTAGAGATCAAGAAACCGAAAATGTTTACCTATGTGTTCTCTAAGAGTGATCCATAGAAACAGTGGAGAAAGACAAGGCGGTGAGAAAGAAACTGCCCTCATACTTCCTCGAAAGTCCTGGAAATAATTAGCAAGTACTAATTTATTTTATAGAAGCGTTATGATGGTGCACAAAGATTACAGCTCAAATTCCAGAGGTCTGGGGCTTTTTCATCCACCCATCCATCCCAAACGTGGTTTCCACTGGCCGTTTTGGCAGGTCCCTACAATGAGACCAAGTGACCATAAGGTTAGAGAAGTTTTTGAGTCACCCAAGAAGCCCTTCCAGCCCCAGCTCCCACAGTGATTAACAACCAATAGTAAGTAAAATACACAAGAACATGGTGAGCACAGAATGATGCATTGCCACAATACTCTTCTATCTTCTGCCTCTCAGATTACCTACAGCAGAGGTGGTATCTTTAGAACATGAAAGTTAAGCGCTTCAGCTGTTCAGTATTGACACAGGGACACAAAACTCTTCTGAACAAGCACTGAGTCTGGGGCTTCAGTAGATGCACTAGAAATAAAGTAAGGTCTCAAACACAGAAATGTCGTAATGTCTATCTTGTAGCAGAGAGTGAGCCAAGTGAAGTCCCCTTATCACCAGTCACGATGTAAATGGTGCTTCTGGTTCTCTCATAGAGAATCATCAGGGAAGAATCTGGAGCAGACAGGGACTCCAGGGGCTCTGCTTGTGATGAAGAGACACCACCGAACATTAAAACACTGTACTTGATCAAGTGAGATCTATTAAATACTCACACATTTGCAAAGGTTTTTATTTCATAAAATTCTTATTTTAATGCATATTAAAGACTTAATTTACAATAAAATACAGTATCCGCAAAATCTGCTTCCCTCTCTCTATCTCTGTGGTACAAAGATCTGCAAATAAGCATAACTCCCCTTAGGAATACATATGCCAATAGTTGTATAAACAATTTAATTATTAAATAGCTCTTCTATTGGCTCCTTCCCAAGTCTTAAAAATAATTAAAAGGAACACAGCAGAGAACTGTCTTCTTTTTTTAGTATTTCGGCTTATCAGACAAAGGGGTTCGTGCTTGGAAGAACAACTCAGGAGACCACCCAGTTGCCCCTTCCCGTATACTGCCTGAACAATTTGCACTTGAGAGGAGATTTTTGCCTTCTGAAGGGGAACAAACTTCCAAGACTGCATCATTTAAAAACAAGGCCTTGGTGACACCTGCAAATACAGGAGTTGTCAGAATGCTGGCTGCGTCCCCAGGGTTTAATCTCTCATTTTGGAAGCATCCATCATTTTCACTACTTTCTCTGCTTTTAGAAATAGGGTTCCCGCCAACATGCCCACAGGGTGATTGTGAGTCAGTGCCCCAGGCAACTGGTTTTAAGTTCAGAGTGGGTTTCAACCTTTTGTTTGCAGATGGAGGGATCCAATCCTCCGGGCTGGCAGGCAGTTGGTTGTTAAGGAATTGCTGTGAAGCAGAGCTATGACTTTCTTGGTCTTCCCCATCACTCGGCCATTTACGTTTCACCAACCTGCCGGTAAGATGCTGCAGCAGCGTGTTTTGGAAGGGAGACCTGGATCGCTTGCATTTGGAATAGGATTTTGTGGGATTTTTCGGGGTGAAGATAGTGACAAAAGAGCTTCTTTCCCCAACAGGCCACAGCTTCTGGAGAGGTTTTGTCATAGGAGTTGACTGTGAATAAGGAATAAAGTCTTGAGCGCTCACTGAATTGCATTCTGAATCACAGGGGGAGTAAACTACTGGTGTACTGTGCTTACTAAAGGAGGGAGGGGATCGACGTAGGGATGAGCTCCGTTTTGAACTGTTACAGGGAACACCTCCAGGATAATGCACCAATTCAAGAGCTGTGACCTTTTCTGTCAAAGTATCTTCCTGCATTAAAGAACTACACCATTTATTTAAGAATTCTACAGGTTTTGCTACCTCTCTTGCACTTGCATCAAAGAGATCAGCAGAAGCATTGTAGCTGCTTTCAGGGAAGCTGTTGTTCCAGTGCATCTCTCTCCTATTAACACTTTTGAAGGAATTTTCTGACAGTTCTGTCAATGGCTTTAATTCTCTTTTATATATCCTCCTTGTAGTGTTGGGAGTTGCTAGATCAGAGTCCCACACCCCTGTGAATGTAAGATCTGTTCTTTGACGTGGTGTAAAAGCAGCGTTTTCTTTATTTTCACAAGCAGCTAAACAGCTGCCACGTGCAGAATGCACACAGGTAGCTGCCTTGCTCCTTTTTAAACAGGAGGTTTTGCCATGTTCAGCACTACCCTGCAGACTCACAAAAGACCAAGCTGGCTTTGAAATGTCAATATTTGCTTCTTTGGACTGCACATATCTGGTCTCGGAAACAGAAGGCTCTGATGTAACTGGTAACTGTGACAGAATAGGTAGATGAGGGTTAGGCATAAAGCAAGACGCTCCACATTCCTTGCCTGTTGAAGATAAAACACCAGAGGAAGACTCGCGTTGTGACGCCTCATTACTCAGCGGATTTGCATTTGACCAAAACCAAGCAAATGAAATGTTCTCCCAGCTCTCACTCTCTGCTGGTGGCAAGAACCTTCCTGAAATGCTTGCTTCAGGCAAATTACCAGCTGCTAGGGTTTGCTTAGGATATGATTTGTTAAGCTTTACACCCAACTTGCTGCTTTCAAGAAGGGCGTGTTTGCCTGCACCGAGGCTGGGTGGTGTTTCAACACTCTCGCCATCTTCTATTCTGGCTAAAAATTCATTTAGGCTTTCTGAGAATGGGAGCTCATCCCAAAGCACAGAGTCCATCTGAGACACTCTGCCTACGTGATGAGAAGCTGAGGCATCTCTCTGGTAACAAAGGGAGTTGTGGGATTTTTCCAAGTAAGAATAATTTCTACTATTAGTCTTTGGGTAAATGCTTTTTCCCTCAAATTCCAAGGGACCTTGTAACAGCCTGGAACTGTTTCCATGTGAACATTTGCTCTTTGAAGAGGATACTCTCTGTAATTTATCACTCACAGAGACACTGTCAGTCTGACGAGGCTGAGAACTCAATTCATCACACTCCTCTTTATCCCCTTCCTTCACAGAAGGGCTGCAGAACTGTGAATCCTGAAGAGTTTGATTGTTGAGGCTTACACTGCACAATTCTGCAGAGACAGGCATCCCCTCTTCATGCTGTTCACTCACCAGCTTTCCCACTTCCAGACTGGGAAAGTCTTCCGTTGTTACCCAAGCAACAGATGAATTCAGGCTGAAGGACTGCTGCCAGGAGCCTAAAAAACTTTCTCTGCCACTAGACTGAACAAAACAGGAGTTTCTGCTCGAGCTGGACCAGCTGCTGAGCTCACTGACAGGTTCATCTATGAGAGCTGAAGATGCATCAGGTGAGTACGAGCTGTTATTACAGCTCCCAAATTTTGCCGACTGCAGGAGCCAATGGAAGTAGCTGATAACAGTGAAGCCAGTAACAGCAGCGTTTGGCAGGAAGATCTGGCAAGCTGTAAGGTTTTTTGTACTTCTATTAATTCGGGAACAGTTTTGCAAGATGCTGCTGGCAGCAGAAAGCCCTCCATCTTCCCTTGCACATCCCTAGGGGGAAAAGAAAACAAACCAACCCAAACTTAGTACAATGCTTTATTATGTGATAGGAAAAAGACTAAATAAAAATTAACACATGTCTTAAATCAGGCTTAAATTTAGGTCTCACTTTTTGTCAGGATCTACAGCGAAGAGAATACAAAACAGCCTGTGACACAAAGCAGTATTCCCTGGGAAATAAGCACTGGCAAGGAATATAAAGGGCGGCACAGCGAGAGCTTCTTTGCTTGTTGCAATTATGCAGAGTTTGGAGCTGGGAAAAACAACCAAGAATTCGAAGGACAGACTTGATTCAAAATTTCTTCCTCCCTTTAGGGCACTGGGTGCTTCCAGGCTTCCTCCAGGGCAGCTCTGTACACATGGCTCACTGCCCAAGGCCAAGGTTTTTCTTTTACTGAGGAGGCACTGGGCAGTCCTTGAAGGAAAGCACTCTGGTACCAGATCCCTGACTTGGCAGCTCAGCCACCAAAGCCAGCATGGTATTTTCTATGTGCTATCCTCTGTGAAAGGGAAATAAGGTACAATCTTTATCTCCTCAGAGTAGTGTTTCAAAGGAGCTTCAGTTGCAGTTCTTTACAGAACCTGCTACTCTCTACAGAGACATTACAGGTTAAAAGTGACATTAAAAGCAGAGGGAATTACAATTGCCTCAAGTTGCGCCAGGAGAGTTTTAGATTGGATCTGAGGAAAGATTTCTTGACTGGAAGAGTGGTGAAGCACTGAAAGGGGCTGCCCAGGGAGGGGGTGGAGTCCCCATCCCTGCAGGGATTCAAGAAGCGTGTGGATGTGGCCCTTGGGGCCATGGTTTAGTGGGCATGGTGGGGTTGGGTTGAGGTTGGACTTGATGATCTCAGAGGTCTCTTCCAACCTCAAGGATTCTGTGCTCTAATGTTTTGAGAAATGGATAAGCCCTTTTTCACTTTCTTCTTAAAGTCTGGTGATGCCAGAGAGGCCAAAAAACAAATATAACTGTCTTCAAATTCAACAGCCCTCCTAGTGAGTCTACACAAAGGTGGAGGATGAAGGCTGTTAGCCAAGGTCCTTTTAGATAAGTCTTTAAAAAGTATGTTATGTTGATTTTGAGTATTATCTGGGAGAGTGCAACTGTGACCATAGCTGAACACAACCATACAGAAATGTCTACAGCCAAAGGCTGAACAAATGGTCTTCAAATGTGTGTTCAGGAGCAGCCAAAAGTCTGTTGATACGTAGGATTACTTATATTTGTACAGGCACCAGACCTAGAGACCTGGTGAATTGTTCCAGTTAAAGTTAATCCATTAAGTCCTCCAATTTCCATCACTTAGGATGCTGTGCACGAGGAAAATCTCAGCCCAGAGATAAACCTCAGGGTACCCGCAGAAGAGGAAAAACACCTGCCAGGTAGGATTTAGTTCACAGACTTCATAATACAAATGACTCACACAAGCACCACCTGAAGAGAACTTATAAGCCTGTTTCTATGGAAATATTACCAAGAACTAAAATTTCAAAGCCTGTAAAACACATAAAAGAGCCACAAATGCTTATGTTGAACAGCTGTATTTTATCAACATTTTAAAACATGCTCTTAAACCCAGAAATATCAAAATACTGCAAGGGAATGTGTTTCTCCTTGCATTTCAGACATCAGGATACTGCAGCATGGGAAAGGTAGGGCAGAGCTTGAAAAGACAGCCTGTTTCTTGCTTGTACGTGGTTTTTTTTACAGACTCCAAGCTGTTACTGATATGCATAGGAGCTGGCACTGCTCAGGCTCTCTGAAAAGCAGCCCTGACAAGCTGTCACACTGACTACTGCCATTCACGATGAATTTTAGATGTGACTCATTTAAAACAACATGGGAGTCTGGGGAAAGAGGAGCAGAATCCTTCCTGTGTCCTAGCCCTAAATTTTCTCAAATTCCCAACAGATACTGCACGTGATGCTTTGATAACTCAAGTCTATGCCCTCAGCTGGCTATACAAGCTAAAGAAAAAACTCATTATAAGAGAGTAACATGGATTAAAAGTTACCTTCACTCCAAATACAAATCTTTTTCCAAGGAAACAGGTTTCCACTGCTTGAACTAACACTCCTGGAGATGCATCTGTGTTTGTTTCTCCTGACTGCTGATTGAAGTCTTGAATACACCTTGAGGAAAAAAATACAGAAGTATTGCATCAGCAGAGAAAACCTTACATAGCATTTTAGGACAGGTACTAAAGAGGAGATACTGCAGTAGCTTAAAGATAGAATGGAAACAGGAAACCATGAACCTATAAATTCAATTGATTGCTTAACTTGTTAGTGGAACAGAAGTAAACAAAACAACTGCTCTGAATAGGTTTAATACAGACACAACTTTTGGGTGTTCCCTGCACGGCCGTGATTTCTGTATCAACACATATATATGTATAATGCTGGCAACATGCTGCAAGTGCTTACGCATCCTTTCTGTCTGCATCTTCACAGCCACAGCCATATTAAGACATGCAAATAACTGTTTTTCACAGCTGACAGTAGCACAGCAGCCTGGTGCAGAATGCCTGCCATGAGAACCTTATTAGTGTTGCTAATATGGGATATAAAAAGTTTTCATATTAGACACAGTGATAACACAGGGCAATGGAAAATAGAGAGGAATAAAACCAACAGTGATTATATCTGAATATCCCACCCTAGGAGTTTCACGTATCAGAAAGTCTGAAGGTTACTGTGTAGGTGGTCCAAAAGGTCATCTGGTCATACTGAAGCCCAGCCATAAGGTGGACACTTTTTTTTTCCCCTCCCAAATCCAGACCGTTTAAAAAAAATAAAATGGAGGCTCTATCTTTACCTTAAGACTCTTACAGAATCTTGAGTATAAAATATGTCTAAATCTCTGGAAAAGCCAACTTAGTAAGCTGCCATTAGACAAAGCAAATTCAATAATCTCAAATAAAGGTTTGAGGCTGAACAAGGCCAAAGGCCGGGTCCTGCACTTGGGTCACAACAACCCCATAGATGCTACAGGCGTGGGGAGGAGTGGCTGGAGAGCACCTGAAGGAGAAGGACCTAGGGGTGTTGGTTGGCAGCAACCTAAAACGAGCCAGCAGAGTGCCCAGGTGGCCAAGAGACCAACACCATCCTGGCTTGTATCAGCAATGGAGTGGGCAGCAGGAACAGGGCAGGGATCCTTCCCCTGTGCTGGGCACTGGTGAGGCCTCCCCTTGAATCCTGGGGTCAGTTTTGGGCCCCCCACTCCCAGAAGTACATTGAGGGGCTGGAGCATGGCCACAGAAGGTCAAGGGAGCTGGGGCGGGGTCTGGAGCACCCAAATGATGGGGAGCGGCTGAGGGAGTTGGGGTTATTTATTCTGGAGATAGGGAGACTGAGGGAACACCTTATCACAGAACTCCACAGGAGTTGGAAGGGACCCTGAAAGCTCATCCAGTCCAACCCCTCCCAGAGCAGGATCACCTAGACTCGGTTACACAGGAATGTGTCCAGGCAGGATCTGAATGTCTCCAGAGAAGGAGACTCCACAACCTCTCTGGGCAGCCTGGGCCATGCTCTGGCACCCTCACACTGACAAAGTTTGGCCTCATCTTCAGCTTGAACCTCCTATGCTCCAGCTTGTCACCATTGCCCCTTGTACTATCTTTGGCTATCACTGAACAGAGTCTGGCTCCCTCCTCCTGACGCTGGCCCTTTACCAATTTATAACCATGAATGAGGGCACCTCTCTCCTCTGCTCCAAGCTAAACAGGGTGTTGGTCTCTTCTCCCATGTAACCAGTGATAGGACAAGGGGAAATGGCCTCAAGTTGCACCAGGAGAGGGTTAGATTGGATTTGAGGAAAAATTTCTTGACTGCAAGAGTGGAGAAGCACTGGAAGGGGCTGTCCAGGGAGGGGCTGGAGTCCCCATCCCTGGAGGGGTTCAAGAAGCGTGTGGATGTGGCCCTTGGGGCCACGGTTTAGTGGGCATGGTGGGGTTGGGTTGACAGTTGGACTTGATGATCTTAGAGGTCTCTGTCAATCTTAATGACTCTGTGATTCTGTGAAAGGAAGAAGGATGTCAGGAGGCCAACCAAAGAAATCATGAAGCTCACTTAGCTGCTGGTAGCTGCCTTCAACAGCCAAGTGGAGGATCTCTTATGTAGGAGTGATCCATCTCCAAATGTCAAGATTTCAGGAAGAAACCAAACTGAAGGTGAGAGTACCAAGGAAATGCTGGAGGGCAGCACTTCAGCAGCTTTTTCCCACTCATCTCCCCCTGATCCAAGCTCATCTCATTTTTTTTGGCTGAAAAAAAAGGCAGCAGCTATATAGTTAGAAACAATTCATTCCTTACCTCTGCAGATTTTCTGCGGTGACCCCAAAGAATGGATCTAAGCAGCTTCCAAACACGGTAATGTCAAACAAATCATTAGTGTCAGCAATTTTTAGGGACAATCTATATCTGTAGCTTGCATCTTCAGCTTCACCTGCGCAGCCACATTTTGGGCAGTTAAACCTGACAACAGAGTAAAAAGATAAAAAAAGATTTAATACATGAGTTTCTGCTGAGGTAAACACTTATCTGCAGCCATAAGTATTACTACTATAATGTATCAGATATCCCATTACGAACTATAAGATTATTTCTTATTCTTTACTCCTGGAGGCATTAAACTTGTCATAGGCTCAAGCAAGGGTTTTGTATCATGACAGAATGCTCCTGACTTCTTTTGTTAAAGAATTTTATTTTAAAATAAAATTTTATTTTATTTTTATTATTAAATGTGGAGCTGGAGAGATCGGGGTTTGAATGACCTGTTGGGGAGTCATTCTGAATTCCCTGCACCCCCACTATTTTGCATTTAATTCTCATTTGGTTTTTCTTCTTCCTGGAGCTTTAGTATAATACCTAAATTAAAAAAAAATAAAAAAATCAGGAAGCAGCACTGTTACATTTAATTCAGCATTTCAAGCAACAGATATTCTTGCTTTGCAAAGTCAGCTTTTCTCCATTTAGCGCTGGCATACATTGATTTACTGTTCTTCTGTGTGTCGCTGTCTAACAGTGGGATTAAAAAGGAAAGCTCATCTATTTCTGGACACGTAGTAAGTGGAAGAGTTATACAGGATGCATATAAAATCAGAAGAAATAAAAATTAGGAAGAGGCTTTCAACCAATGCTTTCCAACTTAGGAACAGCCCTGAAGAACTGGAGTGCAGGGGATGCACTTGGAAGCTGTTAACACATCATTTCTTCTCCTAAATTGCCCTTCGATATTTTATGGCACTGAACACAACACAGTTCTTGATCCAGAACCATCTCCAGCTGACACTGGAATAAAGAGTGATCTAAATAGCGATAACATAAATATCTGAGATTAGCACTTATTTCTACAATTGTTGGATTCTAACCAATTTGTTTCAACTTGTACTCAGCTCACAGAGATACCCAAGGCCTCTGAGTGTTTCAGTTAACGATCCCCAAAACAGGACATTGTAGAGAAAGAGCAAAGTTAATTACAAAGTCCAAGTCACATACACCACGTAGCTGCGTGCCTGGAAGCATGAAAATCAGCACTGGGTGAGAGGGCAACCATCACTAGATCAGTATCTGGTGTAATCTGGATGCCTGGAGGAGTGTGAGACGGGGTAGAGGCCTCGCAGTCTCAGTCCCCCATTTTTCTTTTCTGCTGTAAAGAAAGGAGCCATCACCTCTACCCATGCAGGTGTGAATTAAAGGACTTTGTGACATTAAGAGAAGTGATTAGATTGTCTATAGTCCTTGCCACCTGCATGTATACCCCGCTGGTGTAAGGTAGAAATTGGAGTACAAATATCACCCCAATTTCAGCCCAAGAATCGGGACAGGATGCACTCAGAACCATACCGACCACTGGACAGATTGATGAATTTACTCCCTCTCCATCCCCTCCACTTGGGACACCTTGTAGGCAAGATTATTTACCTCAACTAACGCTGAGTGATACATTTCTCCTCAGGTCCATGCTCCCTGAGCATATTGGATATTTCTCCTCAAGTGCATTTCTAGACTTCCCTGAGTGTATTCTTGGTTTTGGTCCACTGTATTTCTGTTTGACAGGCTTGTTTATTTGCCAGGCAGCCAGGCTTACAGTGGGCAAGTTGTTATTGTTGTTAGTGTTTGTGTGTGTGCGCCAGTTTTATAGTGTGTTGTTGTTATTATATTAGTTATACAACCTTTAGTGTACCTGTAACTATTCAATTAATCACCGGCAATCGAAAAGAACCTGTAAATGTTGCTGTAAATAAACCATTACTATTTGCTCCCCGACTTGCATCTGTTCTATATTCGGTGCTGGCCTCACAAGACCGGATTTATTTTCCCCATTTTTCGCAACAGACGTACCTCCTAGAGTCCAGGAGCAGCCTAGAAAAGCACTTTTGACAGGCGGGATAGATGAAGCAGGAGTTCTGGATGGCAATTACGGAGGCAGCCAAGAGTCCCCTCACACTGTTCATGTGCTCTCAGCACCACCTGAAAGAAGTCAAAATGGTTCAGAGAGTTCCCATTTTTCGAGACATTAACCTTTTTTAGCTGAGTTTTCTGATCATGTTGAAAGGCAGCCTTCAGGAAACACCAATAAATGAGAATTAATTTATTTTTATTCAGTATTACCTTCCTGCAGGATTATCTTGCCTTTATTATTGCCATACTGTCCAAAATATAAATTTTTAGCAAATTTCCTCTATTTTACAAAGTCAACTTTTTTTCCTCAGCAGATGCTGGAAACATGTAGACAAAAATACCCTAAAGTACCTCAGATCATAAGAGTTCCAACTTAAATGACCTAAATGTTCTCTACAGCTGAATTAAAGGACCCCTTAAAATCCTCCTTTGCAAAAGGACCTTTATCACAGTAACAGCTAAATAGACATCTCTTTACAATGTAAGTAGAAAAAAATCAGAATAGGAAGGGAATTTCACATCTTCATCCCATAACTCCCCCAGGGAGATGGATAAAAGATATTCAAGTAAGGCTTTAACTTGCTAAAAAACATTCAATAATCAATTATATTTTGTTAACATTTTGCCACGTAACATAATAAATAGTGCATGCCTTCAATTCTTGCCAAAATGGAACTGTTTTGTTTCAGTTACAGAATCAGGTATCAGTAAAAAAAGTACAAGGAAAACACACCAATATAAATAAACGTGGCAATAAAGTTAAGTCTGATTTTGTTATTGCCCAAGAGCGTGGACTTGGAGAAACCAGCAGGCGCTTCACATTTCCAACTCAGAACTGCATTGACAAAGTATGCTGTTAGCTGCATTTTTAAATGAAATAAGTTTGGGAGGGAGTGTTGATCTGCCTGAGGGTAGGAAGGCTCTGCAGAGGGACCTGGACAGGCTGAAGCCATGGGCTAAGGCCAATTGGATGAGCTTCAACAAGGCCAAGTGCCGGGTCCTGCACTTCAGTCGCAATAACCCCATGGACGCTACAGACTTGGGCACGAGTGGCCGGAGCTGCCTGGCTGAAAAGGACCTGGGGGTGTTGGTGGTCAGCAGGATGACCATGAGCCAGCAATGTGCCCTTGTGGCCAAGGTCAATAGCATCTGGGGTGTATGAGAAGGGGTGATTATAGGTCAGAGAGGTTCTCCTTCCCCTCTGCTCTGCCCTGGTGAGACCACATTTGGAATACTGTGTTCAGTTCTGGGTCTTCAGTTCAAGAAGGACAGGAACTGCTTGAAAGAGTCCAGCAGAGCCACAAAGATGATGGAGGGAGTGGAGCATCTCCCTTATGAGGAGCAGCTGAGGGAGCTGGGGCTCTTGAGCTTGAAGCAGAGGAGACTGAGGGGTGCCCTCATTCATGGGGATCAATTTGGAAAGGGCGAGTGTCAGGAGGAAGGATCCAGGCTCTGCTCTGTGATGTCCAATGCCAGGACAAGAGGCAATGGGAGCAAACTGGAGCATAGGAGGTTCAAGCTGAACATAAGTAAAAACTTTTTCAGTGTGAGGGTGCCAGAGCATGACCCAGGCTGCTCAAGAGAGGTTGTGGAGTCTCCTTCTCTGGAGACATTCAAAACCCGCCTGGACGTCTTCCTGTGTGACTGCTCTGGTGATCCTGCTCTGGCAGGGGTTGGACTGGGGGAGCTTTCGAGGTCCCTTCCAACTCCTCATATTCTGTGAATAATAGCCAGCTTCCAAAGAGCGTTGCCATCCCCCAGCCCTGAACCCCACCAAGGGTCCCTCAGTGCGTGATGCCCTCTGGCGGGCTCAGCGCCTTCGACGCTGCCTAAGGTAAAAACCACACAGCAGAAGCGATGCAACCGGTCTCACACCGCAGTTTTTACCCCTTCATCAGCAGCCTCCTCCCGCTACAGCCCCGAGGTGCCCCGGAGGCCGGCAGCGGGCAGCCAGGCTGAGCCGGCCGGGCACAAGCACCGACTGGAGACTGGCCTAAGGTGTCTGGCTTCACCCCAGCTCTATACCTTCGTCCTGGGCGCTTTAAGCTTTGCTTAACGCCCAGGAAACGCCTCAGTTACCGCAGCATCATTTTACCGACGGAGTCTCCGTCTCCCGGCTCCAGGGATGGCACTGAAGAGTGAAGCGCTCGTACCTGAAGAATGAAACGGGAAGCTAGCAGCAGCACTGCCTTCCCTCAGTGCCCTCAGGTCTGTACAGGAGAAAAGGACCAAAAAGTGGCTACCATGACGCCCACACCTCCTCAGCTCCCGGAGAAGAGCCGCCCGCAGCGTAGCTTCATTACCCGGTCCCAGCTCTAGGGAGTACCCGGAAGCCGGAAGTGCGGCTTGCTGTGAACCATTGCTGGAGGCGGGGACTAGGCCGCGTTTACCCAATCGGAAGGCAAGCCCGGAGGCGGGGACCGCCCCTCTTCTCCATTAAGATGCCGGCTTCGTGCTCGCATGTCCCTCACACGGCGCCTAGCGGCGAGGAGGGAGGGTCAC